GATTTGTCTGAACATGGAAGTGATAACGAGAAAAATGATATTGTGGATTTTATGAGAATTAATGATTTTGATGGCGTCCATGAGAATTTGGATGAGGATGATGTTGAAGGTTTTATGGAAAATGGTATGTGTACTTCAACAGTTGTTGAGTCTGAATATGAAAGTGATGATGTAGGTATGATAGAACCATGGTAGCAGCAAGCCTGCTTTTTTGTGATCTGTGAATTTGAGGAACTCTCATAATATGAATACTGTGGAAGTGAGCAGCAATTGTAGATTGTGAGGAAGTTTTCAATTATTTCAGTAAATCTGGGTGGGCAGCAATCAATATCTTCAATTTATATTGGCAGGTCATTTTTCCTACTGCTGTTCATAAATTTCGTAGGTTTTTCTTCAAGAAATGTTCTGCTGTTGTTGCTAAGCAGTCATATCACTTGGTCCATCTGATGCCTGCTGTTATGTTTCTTTTCCCTATATTTGTGGAGTTTTGTATTGAAGAGTTTCCCAACAAGATCAAGCTGTTTCGAATAAGATTCAGTCCTGTGAATCTTAGAGAACCACATGCATGGTTTCCCTTTGCACAGGTAATGAAGTTATCATTGTTGGCCCAACAATGAGTGGCAAGACTTACATGCTTTGCAGCGGTTTTTATTGAAGCAAAGAAGGTATTTATTGCAGTCCACTTAGGCTTTTGGTTTATGGAAGTTTTTGGAAAAATGAATGCACAAGGAGTTTACTGTATCCACCACACAGGGCAAGAAAAGAAATATGTCCGTTCTCAATCATGTTGCTGTACTGTAGAAATGGTATCAACAGAAGAATTATATAATGTAGGTGTGATTGATGAAAACCGGATGATGTCATACTGTATAGAGGTTATGCATGGAAATGTGCATTGCTTTGATTGAAAGCTGATGAGATACATTTGTGTGGAATCCAACTGTTCTGAATATTTTCAGAAAGATCTGTTCAGATACTGGAGATGATTTGCATGAACATCAGTATGGCAGGTTCAAACCATTAGTAGTTGAAGCCACGATTCTGTTAGGAGACCTTCGAAATGTTTGATCTGGTGACTATGTCATTGCTTTCTCAAGGAGAGGATATTTGAGGTGAAAATGGCTATTGAGAAAATAAAACTCACTGCTGCTGTGTTATTTACAGTGCCTTGCCACCAGCGACTCGTAGACAGCAAGTTAACTTGTTTAATGATCAAATTTGATGTGCTTTATTGCCAGTGATGCTGTGGGAATGGGATTGAATCTTAATATTAGGAGTTGTTTTTATAGTCTTTCAAAGTACAATGGTGACAAGATTGTTGGAGTCCCAGCATCACAGGTTAATCAAATTGTGGGAAGAGCAGGTTGTAGAAGAAGTCATTATCTGAATGGACTGACAACAACTTGCATTTAATGATTTGGATTATCTAATTGAGTGTTTAAAGAAACCCTTTGAAGAAGTGGAGAAAGTGGGTCTCGTCCCTTTCTTTGAGCAGGTTGAATTGTTTGCTGGGCAATTCCCTATCGATAGTTTCTGCCAGTTACTTGAAAAATTTGGTGAAATTTGCCATTTGGTGGTTCATACTTTTTGTGCCAACATCTTTGTATTAAGAAGGTAGCAAATATGTTGGAAAAGATACAGGGAATATCTTTTGAAGATCGGTTCAACTTTTGTTTTGCTCCAGTCAATGTTAGAGACCCAAAAGCAATGTATCATCTGCTCAGGTTTTTCTTCAGCTTACAATCAAAATGTCCCGGATAGCTTAGCAATGGGCACGCCAAAAGGTTCTGCCAAAAATAATCAAGAACTCTTGGATCTTGAGACTAAACATCAAGTTTTTTCTATGTATCTGTGGCTATCTCACCACTTGAAGGAGGAAAGGAAACCTTTCCTTCCGTGAAAAAGGAGAAGAAATGGCTATCGGTGTTGCTGACTTGTTGGGTAAATCTCTTGTCAATGCATGCTGGAAACCAGAATTGACCGGCAAAGAAACCTATGCCTCAAAAGAAGGAAGAAGGATATCAGAGACCAAGGTCACTTATCAAGTTACGTAAGAAGTAAGTTTATTGCAATTAAAATAACCACATGGGTTATCCAGAATAAGAAATAGGGCATGGTACTCCAGTTTTAATTGTGTTCTGTTGTTTACTACTTTCTACTGTTGCTTTCAGCTAAATTTTAAAAGTTTATATTTGGCTATATTTT